TGACCTTATATTTTTGTTGTAGTGGTCTTTGAAGCACAAGAACTTCTAATTTTGAAGTCTAATTTATTTATATTTTCTTTGGTTGCTTTGTGCTTTTGGTTCATAATTAAGAAACCATTTCTTAGGCTGGGCACGGTGGCTCACGCCTGCAATCCCAGCACTTTGGGAGGCCGAGGTGCATGGATCACGAGGTCAGGAGTTCGAGAGCAGCCTGGCCAACATGGTGAAATCCCATCTCTACTAAAAATGCAAAAATCAGCCAGCATGGTGGCAGGCACCTGTAGTCTCAGCTACTCAAGAGGCTGAGGCAGAATCACTTGAAACCGGAAGGCAGAGTGTCAGGCCTCTGAGCCCAAGCTAAGCCGTCATATGCCCTGTAACCTGAAGGTATACATCCAGATGGCCTGAAGCAACTGAAGATCCACAAAAGAAGTGAAAATAGCCTTAACTGACGACATTCCACCATTGTGATTTGTTTCTGCCCCACCCTAACTGATCAATGTACTTTGTAATGTCTCCCACCCCTAAGAAGGTTCTTTGTAATCTCCCCCACACTTAAGAAGGTTCTTTGTAATTCTCCCCACCCTTGAGAATGTACTTTTGAGATCCACCCCCTGCATGTAAAACATTGCTCCTAACTCCACTGCCTATCCCAAAACCTATAAGAACTAATGATAATCCCACCACCCTTTGCTGATTCTCTTTTCCGACTCAGCCCGTCTGCACCCAGGTGAAATAAACAGCCTTGTTGCTCACACAAAGCCTGTTTGGTGGTCTCTTCACATGGAAGCACATGAGACACAGAAGTTGCAGTGAGCCAAGATCGTGTCACTGCACTCTAGTTCTGGGCAACAAGAGCGAAACTCCGTCTCCGAAAAAAAAAAAAAAAAGGAAACCATATCTTAATAAAAAGTCATGAAAATGTGTACCTGTGCTTTCTCATGAAGGTTTTATAGTTTAAGCTCTTACATTTAGATCTATAGTTCATTTTTAGTTCATTTATATTTGTGTGAGGAAGGGGTTTCAGCTTCATCTAGTTGTACCAGCACCATTTATTGAAAAGCCTAATCTTTCCCCCATTGAATTGTCTTAGCACAATTGGCTGCAAATGTAATGTTTTATTTTTGGCCTCTCAATTCCATTCTATTGACTTGTATGTCTATTTTTAATGTCTTGATTTTTATGTCTTGATTAATGTAGTTGTGTAGTGAGTTTTGTGATAAGTGTGAATCCTCCAACTGATTTTCTTTCTCAAGATTATTTTGGCTATTTGAAGTCCTTTACATATCCATATGAATTTTAGGATCTACTTGTCCATTTCTGCAAAGAAGGCAACTGAAATTTTGACAGAAATTGCATTTTTATCTATAACTAACTTGCTTTAAACTTTTAAATATATATAAATATGATATGTAGATCTCCAGGTCCCACAAATAGATTGGACTTTATATTATTTTTGTGACTCATCGTGATTCTATGAAGAAGATATTATTAAGAAACTTCCTCAAGATCACACAGTTAGAAAGTGGCTGAAATGAGATACCAACCCTTGTATGTCTAAACTACAATCCTCTCATAGTATCATGCCATCCCTAATAATAACATCTTATAATTTTTTGAGCTGTATATTATCTTACATACTCTCATTACTCACAAAGTTACATAAATTAGAAAATATAAAAATTATCATCTCCTGATTTGCTGCCATAGCACCCCATGTACACTCCTATTACCATAGCTCCTCCTCACACTGTATTCTACTTGCCTGTTCTTTACCAGACAATGAGTGCTTTAGGAGCAGAAATATGTCTGGTTCTTATATCTCCGGTGCCTGGAGGAATGCCTGGTACTAGAAGGGGCTCTGTGATAGCTGACTGAATAAATGATTGTGTTATACATTCATCCCTTAGGATTCAGAGGCTGGCATTGCAAGTTCCCCTGTACATGAGTGTGGTTCATTTTCCCAACTACTGTGGGGAAGCTCAAGACAGAGACCAGAGCCTTGCTCTTAATAGGTACTCAGCACATAAGATCAGGTCCAGGCTGCATTCTTCCTGGGTCCAAGGAGAAGAGCCAAGTCAACTCATTTTGAGAAAACCAGCACATGCCATTCACAACAGAAAAAACATAAATGACTAATGAGTGTAAAAAGGTGTCTAATCTCACAGAGACGCAAGTGAAACAAGAATTTGTCTTTGACCTATAAAATTGCAAAGATTAAAAGGTGATAATACTCAGTGTAGTAAGAACGTAAGAAAATGGGTCCTTGCTGGGAATGTAACTTGGAAAAGTTTTTTGAAGGGCAATTTGGTAATGAATGTCAAGTTATAAAATGGGAATATGCTTGGATACATCAATTCTGCACTTTGTACAAGTGCACAGTGCTGGAACAGCCAGTCCTCCTTGGGCCCCTGGCACTCTTCTTCTGGGTGTGGCAAGACTGCAAGACTGATTGGTCTGTTACAGGGCAATTTCTCAAGGTTATTTTATGTACTGGCAAATTTGAGAGATAAGGTACAATCTTCCTCCACACCAACAGTAGGCTTATTTAGTGCTTGCTATAAAGCAATAGACTCCCAACGCTCAGTGTTCCTTAGATACAACACAAACCCCCTGTGTGCATAGCATCCATATGGCTCATATTGTGTCACCCTATGGGACTTGGTGGCAAAGGAAATCAACACAAACAAGTTGATGCTCCTGTTGTCTGCTGTGCAATGAGTAACAAGGTCCTTTGTCCCTTAAAAATGTTATCATCCCATTTTCTACAGATAAGTAAACTGGGGTTCATTAAAATTAAATAGCCAGCCCAGAGCACATGGTCATTTACACGGTCATCCATTGCAGATGGAACCAGAGCCCAGGGTGACTGGCTGAGCCTCAGCAGCTAACCACGGATCATTTGGATAAGCAATATGAGAGACTGATAGAGAAGAATCACAGGGCCAACTCTCATAACAAACTTTATGTAATTAGCCTGCTGGATTGTCTGGCACTCTCCAATCAGTCTGAAAAGCATCCAAACTGTTGCCATGACTTGCTGAATGCTTGTGGCTACTGGGTCACGCACTAGAACAGTGGTTCTCAGAGTATGGTCCCCAGACCACAAACATTGGCAGCCCCTATAAGTTAATATAAATGCAAATTCTCAGGCCTCCTGGATTTGCTTAATCCAGACCTCCCGGAATTGCTAAAACACCGCAACCTGTGTATTCATAAGCCTTCCAGGTGATTCTGAGGCACACCCAAGTTTGAGAAGACACTGCTCCTGTGCAGGCTGCAAAACTCCCCTCCCTTCAGCTGAGCTGCATCCTTACTGAGAGACTGCAGAGCTAGTTCTCACACCTGTTCATGACAATTGTACTTGTCACTCGATTTACATATTTTAGTTAATGATTATGTTTACCAGTGAAATATGAGGGCAAAAGAAAAGGAATGATTGTTTCTATGACAACCACATTGACTATTTTAGAAAGTCAATGAAGATAAGTCACTAAAAAATGTTCTTGAAAGAGAAAAATTGGTGAACATCTACTGTTTTGTACTCTTTTATGAATCGTTATTCATTCCACTTTAAATAAACCATATCTGGAGATCAGAAAAAATAAACGTGGTTTAGACAAGCAATGTGGAACTAAATACCAAACAATGATTCTATATTCAAAGAAAAGGCAGGGCTACATCACAACATTTGCAAATGAATATGCATTTACATGTTTTAAGTTAAAATAAAATGTTTAGGCCGGGTGCAGTGGCTCACACCTGTAATCCCAGCACTTTGGGAGGCCGAGGCGGGCGGGTCATGAGGTCAGGAGATCGAGACCATCCTGGCTAACATGGTAAAACCCCATCTCTACTAAAAATATAAAGAAATTTAGCCGGGCGTGGTGGTGGGTGCCTGTAGTCCCAGCAACTCGGAAGGCTGAGGCAGGAGAATGGCGTGAACCCGGGAGGAGGAGCTTTCAGTGAGCCACCATGGCGCCACTGCACTCTAGCCTGGGCGACAGAGCAAGAGTCTGTCTCAAAATAAATAAAATAAAATAAAATAAAATAAAATGTTTAAGGTGTATGTGTATTTTTTATAATTTCATATTTAACTGACTCTAAAAAAATTAGTTGACTGACTTCTAGCCTCCACTATGTCGGGGAGAGAGCCTCCCTTGGATAGGATTTAAATCCTGATAAGAGATAACAACCTAGAATGGGGGAATAAGATACAACGAACTTCTTTCAATTGCTGTTTCTTTCATTCTTGGCTCATGAACAAAGAGGTTTGGTTCTCCCCTCTTTGCTTCTATGTCTCTGAACCAAGAGGATACCATCGTTAAACAGCTATACCCTTGTAGCCTTGAAAAGGTATTATCAGGAGCATGTTTAATGGTAATACATGGGACATGTCCTAACATCCATTATTAAGCCCAGTGGTTGATCAGTTTGCCTCTTGGGCTCTGGTTAAAAAAAATTATTTGTCCTGCTCAAGAGTGCAGAAGCATGCAGGACAGAGCGATGAGAAAGAAGTGAAGCCATTTATCCCAGAGACAGAAGCCATTGTTCTCCTCATCCTACCCTTCTCCTTTGAGAACCCTTCCTCACCTCCTTCTCTCGTGGGCTCCCATGTTGGCCCCCTCCCTTAGTGTGTTGGACCCAATGGAAACCTAATTTCTGCTGGTCAATCTGTTCATTTTCCTGCAAATGGGATTAGGCACATGCAAACTCTAAGTCTTTATTGAATGTATGAATTGGAAGGGAAGAACAACTAGGGCTGTTGCAGTGGCTATATCCTCCCATACGCTGGGATAAGCAGAGAGAGCCAGCCTAGAAGAGGGAGAATGAAGCCTTTGCTCAGAGAAAATTGGAAACAAGAGATCCTGTGACTGTGGACAGAGTAACTTGGGGAAGCTAGTTGAGTTTCTTCTCTTTAGGAACTATAAGCTACCCACATCACCCCCATCCTTCTAATAAATTGCTTTTTTTTTTTCTCCTTAACCTCATTTTACTAGGCCCCTGTCCCTTGCCTGATGCTATTCTTGGAGCAACAAGTACTTAGTGCCAGGCATCTCGGTGAGTATATTGAAAACACACATTGGCAATTCTATAACAATGACTTTTGTTGTTTAAAATCTGAACTTTAAGTAGTTGCAGATAGGGGTCATTTACTGACTAGCAACAGGGGTCCTCACACAGAGAGGTGATGTCTCAGTTTGAAACAGGAACAGCCTGGGAATCATTAAAAATCAAAGATAAGCAGAATTCGGATAATGTGTTATAGAAGAGATGTTTACTTAAGCAGAACAGAGACTATTAGACTACTCTCTTAGCTATTCTTAGCCAATGATATTATAAAGCTATTAAGTTTTGAAAGAATTGGACGTTTACATCAGGGACATTGTATAGCATTTGTGTATTTTTTATACATAAGCATAGCTAAATTAGTTCTTATTTTATAGTGTTGATGTAATCATTACTTGAAAATGCTATTGGTGTCTGATATATGGTTTGGCTCTGTGTCCCCACCCGAATCTCATCTCAAATTGTAATCCCCATAATCCCCACATGTTGAGGGCGGGATCTGGTGGGAAGTGACTGGATCATGGAGATGGTTTCCTTATGCCGTTCTTGTGATAGTGAGTCCTCACAAGATCTGATGGTTTTATAAGTGTTTGACAGTTCCTCCTACACACACTCCCTCTTACACCTCGTGAAGAAGGTGCCTGCTTCCCTTTCGCCTTCTGCCATGATTGTAAGTTTCACCTGAGGCCTCCTAGCCATGCTTCCTGTTAAGCCTGTAGAACTGTGAGTCAATTAAACCTCCTTTGTTTATAAATTACCCAGTCTTAGGTAGTATCTTTAGAGCAGTGTGAAAATGGACTAATACAGTGTTTTAATGAAATCTGAAGTTAAAGGACCCTCCTCCTGCCCGACTCCTAGGGCACTGTGGAATATGGACAAGTCACGGACCTCACCTGCCTGATGCAGTCATGACTCTGATACCCAGAGGAGGCAATGTCAGGTGGACAGCCCCACTTACTGAGTACTCTTTTAACAAGCCTCATTTCTATCTGGCAGTGTGACACACTCTAGAAACCATCTAAATGTAGAAAAGGTTTCCTCCTGCACCTCATTTCTCGTGTTCCCTACTCCTAACCTTGTTAGGAAAGGAAAACAGATAGTGGAGCTATGTCTTGGAGGCCATAAGCCAGGATAAACTACAATGCAGAGGAAAACTAAACTGAGATTACTCTAGGCATCTCTGACTGTGAGCTGGAGAAGGGCTTGGGGATTGTGGCAAGCAGGCTGTTGGGGAAACAAGAAGATGCCTCAGACACAGCTGAATGGCCTATGGCTGGGGAGGACGAGGCAGCTAGGGGTTGCAAGTTCTCTTCTTTTTACCCACAGCATCAAAGTCTTTGCCTTTGTGAAAGGAGAAAAGTAAAGGTGGGATTCAGGTGAAAGAGATGAGAATAGTGGGGTTAAGGCAAAGTCAAATGGGAAGGATGACAGTCAAGAAGGAAGGTAAAGGAAGACAAAAGATAAAAGACAAGAGAGAAGCACTCATTCAGCTGAGTAAGTTGGTATATGTGTATAAGTCAGTAAGGGCCATGCCATGTGTGTGTGTGTGTGTGTGTGTGTGTGTGTGTGTGTTTCAGCCAAGGAACAGACTTTTGGTGTAATAGTTTTAATATAAGCAGAGTATATTCATTTCAATTCCTTTTTTACTTTTGCAGAAAACATACAAAAGAGAGTTAAGGGATTAAAAGTGCAGAATCTGGTTTTAAACAGATATGGTTTCAAAATCTGGCTTTGCTACTGTTAGCTGTATGACCTTAATTGATTTATCTAACCTCTCTAGACCTCCCTATATTAAAAGTGGAAAGTAGTAATTTACCTGTAATAGGGCCATCCCGAGAAAGAAGCAAGATATATGTGTAAAGCAATTTGGCAGGTCTAGTACACAGTAAATGCTCATAATGATAGCTTTTGTGGCAGCTCTATCCTCTGACAGATCGCACATATTGAGTGCTGAGTTTGTGCCAGCTCCTTACATCTATACTATATTCATTTTTTGATGCAATTAAAGCTTTCATTTGTTATGCATATTGGCACCAAGATTTATTCTTTGTCCATGTATTTTGTTTTCCTATTTTTATCCATCCCCAGACTTGACATGGGTACTATGAACATATTCCATATGAACCAATCACACAAGACCTGTAGTCCAGATAGAAATTAGCTACCTTTTTTGTTTTAAGAACAACTTGGTAATATTATGTAATTATACACTTTTGAGTAGACATGCTTTATACTTAGGAGCATACATATATGAGGTATATAATATTTTAAAATAAATTTACTGAAGATATGCAAGAAAATGCCTCATTATTTTATAATAATCTCCTTTCTCTTTCTCTAAAAAGAAAAAAAATCGCAATACTATAAAAAAAAAAAAGCTAAATTACTCCCCATCCAACAGCATTTGGCAATTCCTTAAAATCATCTGTCCCCCTAAATCTAAAAAATTTTCCACCCCAGTATATTCAAAAGAATATGCTATGAGTAATAACCAAGGAAGAGGTCAAGAGAATCTTTTGTGCCCTGGGATATTGGTTTCTTAAGCTACAACACTGAGGGCAGAGAGGACCACACTTACTTTTGGCACATGAGTTAAATCTTGCATATGACTTCATGGTTGCCCCTCACACACATCCTGTGGTTTGCCACCCATACCCAAGCTTAACTCTGCATACCACCTTCCCCAAAGATTCTCAGTGTTCTCAACTGTTTGCAGCTCTGGTCGTATACTGTGGCAGGACCTCATCTTGTGACCACAGTTCCTCAAGAAGAGCTTCATTGTTTGACTTCTGCTCCCTGAGCTTGTCTACCTACTGCAGTGTGTTTTCTTGCATTTAGTCCATGGGAACATACTTTCTTTTTATAAATTAGTGTAAAGTATCATGCATGGGTTTAGGGAAAACACAGTATTATGTAGTGCCATATACAGACAACATACCATTAACTAGACCGGAGTTACATAAGAACAGCATGTTGTTATGTTTTATTCCCAAGGATTAAGAAAGCTCATGTGAGATTATTCTCTGCACCCTAGCATTTTACCATTTTCATCTTTAACACATTATCTTGTCCTATTTCTATTTTTTCCCCACATCGAATTTCTGAAGGGAATTTTCAAACCAAATATATATATATATAATATATATGTATATATACATACATATATATGTATAGTAGATCATAATTCAGAAACTGTGTCTTTGCCATAAACTTATTATGGTTTAGCCTGAAAAAAGCTCAATTCGCCCACTTTGAAGATTAACTACTTCATCACACGTAACCAGTGAGTGAGGAATAAGGGGCAGGTTCATTTTCATCACAAATATTATAACCTCAAAAATAAAAGTTTACCCTATTCTCCACTGGAATTATGCAAATACATAAAATATGAAGTATCCACACTCAATACTGAGTATATCATATGTCAAATTACTGGTGGATATTTTTCTTTCTCTTGCTTAATTAGCTGTATGTTGAGAAATTTGTATATTGGGCAGATAACAAATGATTACCACCTGGGGATTGCTAACATACCAAATTTTCTTTTATCTCTTCAGAAACGTCAGTGTGTAGTTATCTAATCATATTGATATTCTGATGGTGATTAACATATGTTATATAATCTTTCTGTGCCTTTCTTGATGGGGTCAGATTCTGTACCACACAAGTCACAGTATTTCAAAAAGCTATTGTGAAAGTAAAGCTAGAGGCAACAAAAGAATGAGTCATTAGTCATTGGGTTTTGTTTTTTTTCATCTATGTGTATCATATTCTAAAATGAATTAAAGATGAGCAATTATCAGATGTAATTCTGAGCTCATGTTCTCACACTGTCTGATGGGTGGAATTTTCACAAGGGATGCGCTGTCATCATTTTGTCAGGACCTTTGGAGACAAGTTCAAGAGTAATGTTTAGTCAGCATAAATATCAAAATGCCCAATAATAAAACATTTTATCCATCTGGTTTTAATCACAAGCCTCTTTAATCTAAATGATTATTGTATTGTGTTTCATACATATTCTGTAAAGATCAAACTGAGTCAATGCCTCTAAAGAGGAAAATAAAATTTTAGCCCTATAAAAAAATTGTTAAGTTCAGGTTTATATTCCTATTATGAATTTAAAAATATTTCTTTGTTTTAAGCAATATTGCCTCCTTGAAATCCTTGTTTCTTTAAAAAAAAGAAAATAGTTTTCTACTTTCTAGTTTGCAGAAAAGTTAATATTATCAGAGAATCATTTAACAAAAAGATACCAAGCTCTACTAATTTAACAAATCGTTCTCCATTAGACTGGAACTATACAGGAGATGGTAATTAGAAACTGTCTTCCTTGCCATTTGTCCTCATTAGCCCTAGCTCAGTCTATGGTCAGATTATATCCTTCTCATATGTTAAATTGACAATCAACCATCATTGAAGGTAAAATAAATAGTAATGGGCCACCTTCTGACCACAGGACACCTAGGCATGCTGTTTCTTCCACAGGGAAAACCCTTCACTATTCCTTTAGCACAATCTATAGTCCTTAGCTTGCTTTTCACTTCCTCCTGGAAGCCTTCTTTGACCGCCCTGACTAGGTCAATAACTCACTTCCACATTAGATGCTCTCATAGATCTATTTTGCATCTTATAGCAAAATAAAATTTAAACTGTAATATTAGTGAAAGCCTGAAGGGAGCCATCTATTTACAAAATATATAATTTTTTAGTCTTTCCCAATTTAAAATTCCTCATCTGTAGCTTGGGCACTGTTTTCCCTATAGCATGCTATCTGCCATTTTATTTTAGCTATAAGGCTGCAGTCAAGTTGGAAGAAAATATGACATAAGAGTAGGCAGCCCAAAACTCTAGGCCTGGGAAATTATGGGAAGAGAATGAAAAAGGCAGGGAGCCCCAGTTCTCCTCTACAGGCTTTAACTGGAAGCATGGTAGATGAATTAAAGGGCAGATGCTCATCTAACTCATGTTTGGAACACGAAAGAGGCAATTCTCTCTCCATTTGCCCCACAAAACAGGGAGGTTTATGAATCTATTGTGTAGCCTCATTAGACAAAGGGAGGGCTGGGATTAACTTTACCAATTCTCTATTAGTTCCCAGGTGTCAGGACCCAGAGATTCCTATACAACACAGGGGACCCTGTGAAGAAGGCTGTGTTGAGAGCAGGCAGCCTTAGTAGGTGTTGGCATGGTGAGGAAAGAAGTCATCCTGCTTCAGAGGCTGTGCGGTAGATTGCTTAGTCAAGGTTTGGATGAGGCATGTGGCAGAGATTCAGAGGGTCCACAGCACTGGCAAAAGCCCAGGTGAGGCTGCAGCAGAGGCACTGCCAGGCCCTGACCCAACTAGAAGAACTGGGCCAGTGGATCACAAACAGAGCTCCACCAGCCTCAGGCATCAGCCACTCATGCCTGCAGGGCAGGATGTGGCTAACACTCAAGAGACACCACTAAGGACACCAGAGGACACTCCAGAGGACACTTCCTGGATTCAGTGATTTCATCCTTCTGTCAAAGCACCTGGTCCTACACCCAGATATAATTTTAGAGAAGGTCACAGGAAAGGGACAAAGTACTCAGGAAGACTAAGCATTTACCTAAAGAGGATGGCATACACACACATACACACACACACATATACACACACACACTCTACAAACCAGCTTTGTCTACTTACACTGTTTAAAGTAAAAGAAACTGAAACATCTTTCTTTCCTTTTTTTCTGAAGCCGAGTCTCACTCTGTCGCCCTGGCTGTAGTGCAGTAGTAGTGTGATTTTGGCTCACTGCAGCCTCCGCCTTCCAGGTTCAGGCCATTCTTGTGCCTCAGCCTCTTGAATCAATGAGACTACAGGCACGTGCCACCACACCTGGCTAATTTTTGTATTTTTAGCAGAGATACGGTTTAACAATGTTGGCCAGGCTGGTCTTAAACTCCTGGCCTCAAGTGATCCACTCCCTCGGTCTCCTAAAGTGCTGAAATTACAGGCTTAAGCCACCATGCCCAGCAACATCTTTCAATTGTCACATCTAAGGTATCTTCATACCCTAGATAAGGTATTACCCAAGAGGTTGGGGGTATTCATGAGGAAGGCCAGAGCAGAACAGTTTCAGAAAATGTAGCAATTCTGCACCTTTAAATCCAGTGTGAGTTCAATGTATAACCCTGCTACATAATCAATCAAGAAATATTCACTGAGTGCCCTCTGTGTGCCAGGCAGTAGGTGGGTGCTGGGGATCCAATGGTGAGTAAATGTAGAAAAGTTCCAACTCCCATGGGCTTGCCAGCTAGAACATGTTAGACTGGCATAAGACCAATAAGCTGAGAAATAATTAATGAGTAGTGATTGTGCTCAAAGCCCCTGAGGGAAAGTATCAGGATTAGCAGAGAGTGAAAGAGGGGGACTCCATTCATTCATTTATGTTATCCAGAACAATCTCTACTCAGAAACCTTCTTGCCTAACTCCCGCTGGTTAAAAGTAGGTCCCAATCTTAGCATGACTTGCTCTCAGCCATTCAGATACTGGGAATTCACTTTTCCTCTCTAAAGATTTGCAACAAGATCTGAAAAATAAAAATTAAAGATTTGCTAAAAGCAAAAATAACAATCCTGATCCTCCACTACTTAAATTATTACAGATTTACGTCCACTAAGAAGCCCCTTGTGACTACAGTAATACCAGCTGCATCAAGTACAGATCCGTACAGTTTTAGAGGCCTTTTCAGACTGTCAAGGTAGTCTCAAGGGCTAGATAGGGGATGTGGTAGAATGAGCAGCCTCTTCTTTTTCTAAATCTACTGAACAGTCATTGCAGGTCTAGCCTTACAAACACAGGAGCTGAACCAAGCAAGGAAACTCAGGAACCCCTGTATCCGGGCTGAGCAGGTCATAGCCCCACAGAATCCCTTAGCCAGGATTGTCCTGCCATCGGTTCCTTTGTTTAAGTCAGTGCTACCTTTTGCAGAACTGGAAGGATGATGCTCAATATGCCACTGTGCTAAGCTCATTGGTCAGTCTCAACATGTAACTTTCCAGCAAGCAAGGTGGGTGGAGATATAGTGGTTACTGGCTAAACTTCTAGCAGCTGGACAAGTCAGAGATTGACTGCCCTCTTTGTACCATTGCCCAAGCGGTGGTGAGAGGTAATAATAAATCAGATTACCAAAGAACTGAAGTATAAGGTAAAAATACATTTCAATCCTTTGTCTTTGTAAAATATTTTCCGAAAATTACTTCAGATTGACCATGTAACAGAAAGTACATGATGAGTATTCTAATGTTTGCATTTAAAATGGAAAGTTAAAAGGCCACCATTGTGTTTGCATGCATGTGGATGTGTGTGTATGTTCATATGTATGTGCCATCTGGTCACTGCAGGGACCTAACTCAGAGGACACCTTTGGCTTGTGATTCTGAAATGTACCAGTGATGAGACATTTCCCTCCTTTACCCTGCCACAAGAGTGGATGCTCCAAATTAGGCTTATCATATGCTCTGGAGAATTTGACTCTTGAGTGGGGACATAGGAATGGAAGACTGTTGGACCTGAGTCATCCAATGGGAACACTTAGACATCTGCAGAGTTAAGTGGGGCTTCCCCGATTCTGGTCCTTCCTGAGGTTGAGTAGTGCTTTGACTCAGTATTCTTTCAGCAAATACCCTGTTCAGCTTAGGTGATCCAGAGCTGGTTTCTATTGCTTGCAGCCAAGGAACTCTGACTAATTCAGATACTAGTATCAAAGAGTTAGAGGGAGGCAATAGTGCCTCTGGGAAACATGGTGGTTTTAAAAGGACTGACTGTATTAAATGATATTTTTTAAACTTCAATTATTCATTTTCATCAGGTTATGAAAGAAATTCCCAGATTTTCAGAGACAGTCATGTTGGATTGGATCTATAATAAGCATCTCTGCCACTCACCCTCTCACTACTATCACAACAGAGTTCAGAAGCCTCTCCTTTTTCTCTTGCCATGATAATTAGAATGGTGTGACAGCAGCACTGGAATCACTAAAATGTGCTCCACTGGCTGTTCTTAGTAACTTGGAAAAGCTTGTGGAAGAAGCTGCCATTAGACAAAAGGTAGTAAAACTTATGTGCAGATTCCAGGATGTGAAGGTGACAACCCATGGCAGGTAATGATGAGACGGCTCATCTCTGAGGGTTTATATTCCCTTGCAAATCTCTGGTGTACGGGGGCAGGAGAATTGTTCTTGAAGGCAGTAACTAATAAAATGAAAGAAAGGCATGTTCAAATCTTAAAATTCTTCCCCAAAAGCACAGCACAATACTCAGAACCTTTCCAATGATTGCTAGAGTCTGAGGTTCCTGAAAAACAAACGCAGAGATTAATTATTGGGCTGCCTTATTACAATGTTGGTTGAATTTAAAACTTCACTATATCTGGTTAAATTAGGACAATCATCAAGAAAAATTAAGACCTGACAATTAGAAGAGCAACATTGGAGCACACTGAGAGCCCTGAAAATCTTCTGAAATGCTCACCACTGTTTGCCTTTGCCATGGTATCTCACCTCCCTTGCAGAAGAAAGCTAAGAATCATTACCTAAGTCTTGTTGTAGCTTGGCTAGTAACCAGAATTCAAAACAAATAAAGTACAGAACCAGAGTAGAAAAAATAAAATAAAATAAGAGTTCCATTCACAAGGAATTGCAGGCATTTGCTAATTCATGTCGTGCCATAAGAAATCTGGAGAATGTTAATGAAAATAGATTTTGAAGGTTCTTTGTTTGGGAGGGAATTTTTCAGATATCTTATGTTTTGATGCAGGTGTTGCCATTCGTTGAGCTGGCTCAGGCAATCCACTGATTCTAAAAGTGTGCTGGCTGAACCAGCAAATACA